GATCCTTCCGAATGTGGGTGGAAATTGGATGCAAGAGTATACCGCAAATCCTCTGGCGGATGATTTCGAGGACACAGAAAGACATTTTGGGCACAAAACCGAGCTGAAAGGAAGATCAAAGCAGACAGGGTTAAGAGGAGATCCCGCGCTGACCCATATGTAAAACCAGCGAGTTCCAGTAGAAGCAGAGATAGACAGACGGTATCAAAGAAGCCTGGTGTTTGTTACAATTGTTACAAGCTTTGTCATTGGCAGAATGAGTGTCCTGAAAAGAAACGACCAAAGTGAAGTAAAATGTTTGATAACTGTTGTAATTTAGCTTGGGATTTAATCTACAAATCAAATTTTGATTTAGAAGGGGCAAGTCATTTAATGAATTCTGTTCACAAAGAGGTAAAAGAAACAAAACTCTTCCAGATAGCTGTATTCTCAGAAATAATAAATCTTCTTTAGTTAATTCTGTTTTTGCAAATGCTGAAATTTCAAAATTGTTAGAAAAGAAGTGTATTTCAGAAGTACAAGAAATACCGTATGTAGTAAATCCACTAACGGTAGCATATAAAAGATCAGCAAAACCTAGATTAATTCTTGATTGCAGACACATCAATGAGTGCAAACATCAGTTTAAATTTAAGTTTGAGGATGGGTCAGTTGCAAAGCAATTATTTAATAACGGAAATTATCTGTTTCGTTTTGATTTAAAAGCGCCTGTCATCATATAGAAAGATTTCCGGACACTAGAAAGTATTTAGATTTCAGTTGGCATTTTGAAGGGACAACCAGATATTTTGTATTTAATGTTCTACCTTTTGGAATTGCTAGTGTTGGTCATATTTTTACCAACCTTACCATAGAAATTGTTAAGTATTGGAGGAGTCAAGGTATTAGAATCATAATGTATCTAGATGATGGTTTGGGTGGAGATAGTAATTTCGATTGTGCACACCGTGCTAGCACTTTTAAAAGACAAAGTTTGACAGAGTTTGGTTTTTTAATAGCAGATGAGAAATGTATATGGCTGCCTGTACAGAATATTAATTGGATTGGGTTAGTTTGGTAAATGCAATTTAGATAATTGAGGTTTAACGAGGAGAGAGTCGAAAGACTTCTTTCGGTTATTTACAAGACACTGAAAAATATAGGTAAAGGCAAGCTTTTGTACAATGCTAGATTTGTGGCTGGTATTGTTGGACAAATAATATCAATGATGACTGAAATGGGAAATGTTTGTAGACTTAGAACTTAGGCTTTGGGGGATATGAAGTCCAAGGTGATACAGATTCTGTCTGTGACTCTGATTGTACTATGCAAATGACTGATTGTAGTCTAGAAGTTCCCAATAACAGTTTGATAACTGTAACTAGTAACTGGTCGGTATCTGAAAGTGTTAAATGTTCTACATAGAGAGAGCTTAAATCAGTAAGCAGAGTAGTCAAAACTTCCGTCACAATGCTAAAAATCACACAGTCCAACTGAATACTGATAATAAAACGTTACAAGCATAACAAAGAATGGTAGAAGAAAGACTGATTGGTTGTGATTTAAATGAATTGTGCACAGAAAACAATATAAGTATTAGGACACGATGGGTTCCTCGAGAACAAAACAAAATAACTGATAATTTAAGTAGATATTCAGATTGTGTTGATTGGGGAATTAATTTTGAAGTGTTTGCCATGCTTGATAAGCGTTGGGGAATACATTCTGTAGATAGATTTGCTACTGATTATAACAGTAAATGTTAAGGTTTAATTCAAAATATTGGTGCAAAGGTACTGAAGATATTGACGCTTTCACGCAAAATTGGCAAGGGGAAACTAATTGGCTGGTACCACCACCAAGTTTGATATCCAAGGCCATTAGAAAAGTATGCGCAGATAGCGCTGACAGTACTCTTATTTTTCCTTTTTGGAAATCAGCTCCATTCTGGGTATTATTACACAATTCGGATTGTACTTTTGTTGAGAGCAAGGTGCATTTAACAAATAAACATTTAATTGTAAGAAGGAGAGGCAATAACGGTATATTCGGAGTATGTCCTTTGAATTTTGCAATGATTGCTTTTAACATCAGATTTTGATTGTAGTATTTCTTGTTTCCACAGGAATAAAGCAGGAACAGTTTGTACGTGATGCCGTGGTACACAGTGGAATTGATGAAGCTCATCCTTTATACAGTTTGGTTGCCAGCTTATCTAAACATTTATTGGAATCAAGAAGTGACAGTACTGTGAAAAAATATTACAGTAACTATGGTTTTTTAAACTGGGAAAAATTTGTTAGTAAACATTGTTTAATTTCAATGCCTGCCTCACCTATACATGTTGCATTGTATTTGTCTAATTCATTAGATTCCGGATCTACTTACAGTACAGTATTGTCTGTTGTCTACTTAATTAAGTGGGCACATGAAATGTGTGGTCAAATTGACCCTACAAATAATTCTTTTGTTCAAAGTCTAGTTGAATCAGCTAAAAGAATTGCTAAACCCGTTGTTAATAAGAAAGATCCAGTCACTACTGATATCTTAATTCGGTTATTTTCTCTGTTTCAATTTTCTACAGATTTACTGGTGGTAAGGGATCTTTTGATGACTTTGCCTGGTTTCAGTGGTTTTTTACGTTTTAACGAGTTAAATCAGCTAAGATGTAACGATATTATAGTAAAAGATGATCATTTAGTTATTAAAATTAGGAAGAGTAAGACTGACCAATACAGATCAGGAGATGAGATTTTAATTTGTAAAGGGCATACTTAGGCCTGTCTTTATGCTATGTTTTTTAAATATCTTAGTTTAGCAGAATTAGCCTTGGAAAGTGATATGTTTTTATTTCGTCCTTTGTACAGAAGTAAAACAAAATGTGCTTTAATTAGTATTTACAAACCTATTAGTTATACTACTGCTAGGGACTGCGTAATTAAGAGATAAAAACTAGTTGCACCTGAATTGAATCTTGGGTTGCATTCACTTAGGTCTTGTGGTGCCACTATGGCGGCTAATTAGGGCGTCAAAGAAAGGTGCTGGAAGCGCCATGGCAGGTGGAAGAGCGATTCAAGCAAAGACGGCTATGTAGCCGACTCCGTAGGAAGTGCCGTTTAAAAAACGTTAGGCTTGTAGTTTATCTAGTTTCATATTTTCTATCTTTGTTGCTCTATGCAGTACTCGAGCTAGTCAACAAACATAAGTTTGTGTTGTGTTTTGGGAATACATATATTTAGTGGAAAGAAGACCAGACTTATAATAGTGTACGCAACACGCGGTTTGTCTACAAAAGACTCATGAAATTCTCATTATAGTTAACATGCTAATAATTAGTTTCCTGGTTACTGGGCTGGTTATAGCCTTGGAAAAGAAAAGTCAAAACATGGGTTGTCAAAACTCATGAAAGATACGTGTACCAGGCTTATAATTTAATTCGCCAGACGCGCATTGCGTCTTTATATGACTTTTCAGTGGCTCCTCAATCAAAACAATTAAAAGGACAAACCCAATACGTAATTGAAGAGCATTACAAAGCGAGAAGTTCCAGACAGTTGTGCCAAAAATAGGCACGGACAATACATGCCTTGGGGGTAGAAACACCTTAGTATTTCTATTAATTTAACATCGTGTAAACAATAAATTTAATCAAAAAGAACGTATCAATAATATCTCATATTAACACAAAAATGTGTATGTATAGGAGCCGATACAGTTGAAGAACTTTTTAACCAAAAAGGATATAAAATGATGGCCATATTCATCAGTTTTGCCTGCTGGAGTTGAAACCTTAGTTTCTAAATCATTTCTTAATTTATAAACGGACACATTAAATTAAGTTGATTTGATTATCCGTTAACAGATAAGAGGAAAATACAGTTAAATAATAGATTTCCAACTCCTTCGGACAAATATTGTGTATAATATTACCCGTGAATACAAGGGAAAATAAAGAACTGTGAAAACGGATGTAATAGTATATAAAGGACTTTCTGTTTTGAATTTCCCTTGGAGTTCGGTATTTTTGTTATTTTACTTTTGGATACCACTTTACTACATTGCACCATTAAACTGAAACTACATGTATATGAAACGACAGAGAACTTAATTCCCTTATAGTCAGTATAAAACCAAGCATCGGGACACAGTCGAAAAACACGATGTGATACAAAACAATAACCAGTTCGCAGCGAAAGAAAATTAACTAACATTAGTGATGTGTGTAATATTTGTATTATCTTCTATAAAAACCATTGTTATATTATTTGGCAAAAACTCAAACATCTTAAATACCGTTGATATCGCTCACATTGTATATTGATAAAGCAAACATAATTTTACGTTCAAAACCACAGGATTTTTTTTTCTCTTCAGTTTTGAATGCCCGAATAAGTATTTTTTTCTATACAATATCATCTATATTCATCTGTACGAATAATATTTCCTACAGAATATAACGGAAAGTTAGTGTGCACTAGTATATGCTATTGCACTTAATTATCGACGTGATCACTGACAAATTTGTTTGTGAAACAATTGTTCAAGCTATGCATGAACATGATGAATATTAGTGAATACAAGTATGTGCTATTGCACTTAATTATCAACGTCTTGTTTGTTTGTGAAACAGTTGTTCAAGCTATGCATGAATATTAGTGAATATTTTCCCTTGTAGAATACAAATCGCACTTGCAAGCTCGTGCAATATAAAAATATACTCGGGACAATATTTAATAATATTCATGTAATAACTCTATATTAGTTTAACACATAGAAATTAGGTCCGATAATACTATCAGCTGAATTGACTTAGCATCTATGGGTAATAAAACAAAGTTTTTGCAATATGTGTTCAAACTTAAGGATTTTTGTTACTTTTCCTTCACCAATAATTTCATATGCATGTTAATCGAAATCATACTGAAGCAATTACGAACTCCCAGGAATAACATCACAAAAGGGAACACTTCCCATAAAAAAATACAATTATTTATTATCTCATATATATAAATTATACTTACCATAAATACAACAAGCTGTGTTAACTAATAATTGCATGTACAGCCACTGGCGATTTGACCTCATATTGTTTCAATGTCAATGATGACTGCAACTTTGATGAACACAGAATCCTTAAACAATATAAAATTAAGAAAAGAATAGACATTGTTATATAATTGTAATATTTCTGTGCTGTTAACTAGTTCTCTCACTTCTATTAATGAACTTGTTTTATTTTTATTTTTGTAGTAAAGCATATGAAAATAATGGATTTAAGTATTTTTGAAGTGTCAAAAACTCTTTGGATGTTTTGGATAAATTGCGATCTTTTGATGATTTGTTCCATTCGGATAACATTTATGATTTTAGGACTATGTACAATACATCACCACACAATTGTATCAAGCAGAAATTCTCTTATTGAATAAAATGGTTCTTTGAAAAATCTGGTTGTAGATTTTTTTTCTGCCAATCATTTAAAGCCTTTTTCTGTAATTATTCAAGATATTCTTACTGGAACTGTGATCAAACTATTAAAGCTGTAAATGTTCTTCTTGACAATATCTATGTACGTTTCGGCAACATTTTTTTTAATAACAGATTGTTTGTATGGGCACCAATTGCGCCGCTTTAATAGCCGACTCGTTCCTAGATTGATGTGAATCACAGTAATGACAAACTCAGTAAAGGACCGTCCAAATTATGTTCAATTGATAAATTCAAAACCAATTACCCTTACCTTGATGATATTATGGTTAGAATAATCAAGCATGTTCTAATTTTACCGCTGAAATTTAATGAAAGGAACATACTTTAAAGAATCTAATACAGACAGCAATATGTGTCTTTTTCTAAGTTTACATACGTAAATTTCACACGGGAAACTCTAAACTAAAATTAATGACAAATGAGACGATTTTTCGTTTCTGATTGTTTATTTTCCAAGACGGTGATATGCCTTTGAACCCTTCTACTGGTGTGTATATTTCAAAAATTGTTCGCTATGCCTGTGTCTGTAGTTGCGTTTTACATTTTTGTGAACGTAATTCTGGTAAACTATTAAGTCAAGGATTTCTTAACCACAAATTAATTAGAACGTTTACCAAATTCTTTAATAGATACACAAATTCAGTAAGAACGTTTGGGTGTACTTGTATAATTTTTACAAAAACGGGATATCATTTCCTTATTTTTACATGTTTTACGATGATGTTGTTTCGAAAGCTCTTTAATTTAGACACGATCAATGTAAACCAATTGATCATGTAGATAAAGTTATTATTAAAGGCTATCAATTTAACACAGCATTAAACTCTTTAAATATTGTTTTATAGGTACAAACTTTGATTTTGTTTTTGAAAAATTGAAAAATGACTAACTACATATTGCTATATACATGTATGTACAGTTATGGGAACTCATGATCCTAAATCCTGTCGATACTGTTTGCTTATATTTTGGCATTGGACAAAGTCAGGCGTTTCTCAGACTGTTTATGACGTCGTTGAACTAAATCCGTTGGATGTATACTGATTGATACTTTTTGTCTGGGAGAACATGATTTATTTATTAGTTAACTAGCTTAAACTAACTTCGAGTAATCTTATTTAGGTGCTTTGTGTCTATTGTTTTTATGTTAGTAGTTTTTGTGCCTCGTATCGATCTTTTAAGTGAAACCATTTGCGAATGATTTTTACAATTTATTCTTATGTTGTGCTGTTGCACCGCTGTCCCAGGTTAAGGGAAAGTTTGATCCTTCACAAACATGTTTGAACCCGCCATTTTCTTTATGTGCCTGTCCCAAGTCATAAACCTGTAGAATAATGGTTTTGTTTGGTTCATGTCTGTCATATTTTAGTTTGTTGTGTATTTTTTTTTGGTTATGAATTAATCCGTTTGAAGTGTTTCCCATTTTCCATGTCGGGACCTTTTATAGCCGATTAAGCGGTATGAATTTTCTCTTGTAAAAGCCCGTACGGTGGCTTATTATTGGTTGCTTCCACTTCATTTTAACTCTGGTGTATAGTTGTCTCATTGGCAAACATACCACATCTCATTGTTTTAACCAGGTGAAATCGAATGCTGATGAGACATTTGTGCAACGTACAAAACAAATATTTTGTACGATCACCTGCAAAATTTCTATAAGGATTTTTTACTCCAGGAACAAATTACCTTTAACAGTTTTTTGGCGAAATCTTTCGGAATTTTAGGTCCTCAATGCTCTTCGTACTTGATTTTATCTTGTTAACTTTTTTGATTCGAACGTCACTGATGGGTCTTTGAAGACGAAACGCGCGTCTGGCGTACAAAGTTTAAATGATGTTATCTATGATGAGTTTCGTCTCAGGAGCATCCAATTTCACCTAGGTGGCTGCATTTATTTGATGAACCTTAAACAATGAAAAGATTTGGTATAATTGCCGATGAGGCCTGATGAAGCTACCTTGTCTGGAAAAATATGCGTGAATCTTAAAAAATATAACAAATATTTTTAAAACACTCATTATCGAGTTGAATTTATAATTTTAGGGATTTATATAATTTAATTTAGTAACTGCATCAGTTTATTTCCAAACTAATCCGCGCCAAATCACTTTGAATGTTGATTGTATCATTTTTTAGACCATATACATGATATATATGTATAAATTAGATAGGTAAAATCAGCTTTACAACTTGATTGCTATATCTGAGAATGTACAAACCCCCTTTTTTTTAAACACACTTAGGTCTAGATTGCTAATGTCGTGTTCCTCACTATGTTGTCTTTAATCAAACATTTCTTTTAGATGTGTTTTACCTAACTAAGTTATACATATGGACCGCTGACTCACACACTGAACATAAATGTCCTGTGGACTGTTTGTGTACATTGTAGCTATCAAACAAGTCTAAAAAATCAAGAAAATGGTCTAGATTGCTAATGTCGTGTTCCTCACTATGTTGTCTTTAAGCAAATATTTCTTTTAGATGTGTTTTACCTAACTAAGTTAAACATATGGACCGCTGACTCACACACTGAACATAAATGTCCTGCGGACTGTTTGTGTATTAATTGCCCAGTTAACACATCGATAACATCTAGAAAAAAAAGTGTTTAATCATAAAATGTATTGACATGGCTAGCAATAATAAAAAAAAAACTAAATATGACAAAAATAAAATCTGCTGATTTTCTTCCGTGTAATTGTAAACAGGAAGATTTCGACTTTGTTTACATTATCTACTATAATTTATAATACGTTTTAAAATGTTCACTGTCAATTGATATATCTGTATTTCATAAAGTAGGAAGAGATCATTGACGTAATGTACGTAGTGGAATAAATTATAATTATATTATAAAATGTCTTCCTTGTTCTATTACAAGCCGTTTCGACATATAATGTATCTAAATGTAGACATATCTTTTCACCATGTGGCGTGCAGTTATTGCCCTTTGAATCCCCCTATCTGATGAACAATTAATTAACCAAATAGTTTAGCATTTTTTTAAAGATCTGACGCCCGGTGTATCTTTTTAAATTATGTTGTTTGTAAAAACAAATTTTGTTTCAAATTAATATCAAGAAGCATATTATTTATTGGTATATGTTCTTTTATATTGAAGTGTTAAACTGGAGCAAACAACGCTATAATAGAAAGACAAATAATTAAAAAATGCCCGTTATATCTAGTTGTTTTCTGAAGAAAATATAAAAATCCAAATGCGATACACACCTCTATTACAAATGAATATTGTCATAACATTTATAAAAGTAAATGGGCAACATTTTTACTGCCTTCAAAGTTTCCCTTAAGTATTTACAGTAGATTGGCAAGTTAACTATCCAGTGGCAGACAAGACCAATGTCTGCTTACTAGAACTGCTCCAATCCTGTTGGCATTTTCTGGTTCAGACTCGGCATGTGGACAGGTCTGTTTTTGACAATTTTAATATGGGTTTGTGTTACTTATTCTGGTGTTACCTTTGTGTACATTTATTTTTTTAACACTGTTTTAATGTGTTGTTTTTTCTTAAATGCTTTTCATGATTCCGCAGTGGCCGCTTGTTGGTTGTTACAATCAATTTCCCTCCCTTTACAGTTACCTTGATACTAAAAATCTAAATATATACTTAGTATAATTCACCTTTTTCTATAAATCAGGAGAGCCAAAGAGTTTATTGAAATAATTTAAATCTGCAATTCAGTTATTGAAACGAAAAACGGTTGCGTAATTTCTTATTTATTTTTTTTTTATTTGTGCTTGTCATATTTACCGATAGTATTATTTTCCTTTGTCTTAGGCTTTAACATTTAATTCACGCAATGGTAAAAACTTTTTATATTGCTAGTCGCACTTTTATGTTATATTGTTTTACTTCCGATGTTCGGTGTGCGATGATTCTTAATTATAAGTTAATTTGCTTTAACAATATCTGTTAAAAAAATTATGGAAACACCTTAGTATTTAATAATAGGAAACTAATTCAGAATCGAGTTAATGTATATTTAGTTTTAGATTTGCTAAAACTTACCGGAAATCATATGCATACATACAGTTTAAAATAGCTTGGGACATACTATGAAATATAAGTTACTGAAATGGTAATGTTAAGCGTGATTACTCTCCGATTTCTTTAATTTTTTGAATAATATCTTTTTTTACTATTTTATCTGAATTTAAAATTACATAATATGTGTTTTTTTTTTAATTTTAAACGAAAGTCTGATAACGTTTATTAATTGATGATTATAACCTTTTAAAGCCTAATGATGGTCATGTTCAGGATTTTTTATTTTACCATTAATGTAATTTAGCTTGAATTGAATTCTGGATAAAATAGTTCCACTTTGCGGAAATGGAATCCCATGCTAGGAGCGTAGCACTTATATATCTAAACATATCTTCCATGGATATTATTGCAGGTATCTCGCAGTATACTTGGTGCTTGCGCCTTGTTACAGAAACAACGTAAACCTTTTCCTGCTCAAAAGATGTCTGTTTTGCCACAGCGGGAATACGAAAATTAATATAAATAAAGAAATGTCATAATAAATTAAATAGATATCTAAGTGCATGTATGTAAATACTAAATATATACAGCTATCAAAACTTTAGAGATATAACTTTCAGGATCTGTTCT